GAACCCAACGGCCACTTTACTTTTACCTACTTTTGACTAGTTTGTCTCCTTTGTCTGTTGTCAAAAACGGAGGAGCAAAACCACCCAACAGGGATAGCAAAGTGTGGGAACCCAACGTTGAGTATAATCATATTTACCTACTTTTAAGTACAACTAACTTACTTTTGGGTAGAAAGCGAGTGGAAAATTCCATAAAAATTGCACACAAGTAAATGAAAACTACTTTGACCCACTTTACTAACATTTGGGTTCCTGCACTATAGTGCCGAGAAGAGTGAAAAGAACTTACTTTTGCGTACTTGTTTCTTACCGTGTACACTGCTTCGGTAGCAGGAGGAGCATCGTTCGACAACAACGACAAGGTAAGTGACAATAACGTTGAGGCGCTAGAGGAGGAAGTAATAGAAATGGACGTGAAGACCCCTATGGCCTAGGAGAACTGTGAAAAGAAAGCGAGCAATGCCCAGAAACAGCAGCCACTGGTATTCAAGGATCGTTTTACATCTAAGAGATTGGAGTCGTATACTGTTCAGAAAAGTCGTGTACAAAATAATAGAAGAACACAAGGCCCAGTGGCTGGCACTGGTGAAGGAAAAACAGTTGGAATAATTAAAGAAGAAACACACTATAACAGTTTATATGACCATTGGTTGACTTTTTTTTTGACTGTCAGAAGAGCACTCAACATAATCCTATGATTTTGTGTTACTTGGGACTCCTCCCATACACGATAAATGGTCACCTATTAGTCATCAGAAGAACACATCACTTTTTGGCACTGGTTCGGAATAGTATTTTAATTTATTGAAAAATTGTAAGACTTTCGGCTCCGCAACGTTTTTTTTTTTCGATTTTTAAACAGTTAAGCCTTATGTAAAAGAAATTATTGACAATACTAACATCGACTCTGAACACATTATGGTATGATTTTGAACATTCCAACGATATCGTGTGAAGAGTCCAATAGAAATCATCTTCTTAATTAAGACATTACAATTTGTATGACCCCAGACACGGAAATTCTACGTTTTGAGACTTCAGTTGAAGTTCGTTTGTTCAGCAGGACAACGACCTGAAGCATACTGCCAAGAAAACCTAGTCTTTCCTTCGGTCTTGTCGGATCAAACCACTGGAATGGCCTCCATAAAGCCCGGACATAAACCCCATAGAGAATGTTTTGGCGATTTACGATCAAGCATGGGAAAATTCGTTTCATTTTGTATTTACTACTCACTCACATACATACAACATCAGAAGCGAACAGCAGCTTGTGCGAGCCACACTGATTTCGTCCGTATTCGCTTTGCTTCTATTTTCTTCGATGAACGCAGAATTGAGCAAAACAGACAACTGAGCGTAACATGAATGATTCTGAGTGTAGTAGTGTGAATCATTCCTCTCTTATTATTTTTTATATGCTGAACCTTTTACGATTGCATTCTGCTGAGTGAGCTGAATGAGAATTTTGCAGAAAGAATCACTTTTTATTTTCTAGCTTTACAACATACATTGACACATTTAAATTGCTATTAATATGGAGAAAAAGGTTATACTGTAACACATAAATATAAACGTCAAGCAAATACCGTAAAACCATAGAGGTAACTCTAAGACCAAAAGGTCCCGAAGAAACGAGCTCAACTTTTTGGCTCAGCTCTGGTACTATCTTCGGTCCCAAGCTAATCGATGCACCTCGAAACATTGGAAAATCCACGAACCCCTCATTTTATCTGTCAAACTTTAATAGTGAATCAAAACAAACATAGTGTAGTACTGGACTGTATACTAGAATGGGGTACTTTAATCGATTTGCTTGGGACCAATAGGCTAGTCAAGTAGTGAGCCAATTTTAAATCGTTAGTTTCTTATTGATTGTTGGTAAAACTGCTGTGGCCAATTCAAATGATTCAAATCAGTGAGCCAAAAACTATCGGTTATTTAAATCGTTAGCATTCGGATTTTACGCATTCAATCTGGTTCTCCCTCGGTAGAGAATTTATTCGGCTGTCTTTCAGTTTATTCTTCTTTCCTTCAACTGCTGTCAGTTCTGAGTCGACCTGCAGAGTCACTTGGTTGGAATAATTTACACTCGTTCGGCAATCTGTGTGTAGGTGATGGCTATTTTTATTATGTGGTGCTCGCACGAGTGAATGAATTTTCCCATGCTTGTTCACGATGTCAGGGTTGACAAAACTGGTGTTACCAATAAAAATAACTATTTTGAAACCCTGGAGCACGCATGGGAAGAGCTAGATCCACAGCATCTAAATAACTTGGTCGATAGCATGCCGAAGTGCCTGCATCAAGTCCCGAAGGCCAAAGGAGGACACATTAATTATAATTATTAAAATGCTTTTCTTTTAATTTAATTTATCTTTTCTGGACCCATGATTTTTTTTTAAAGTAAACTCTTTTTTTTTGTATTAGTGAAGTGAAACATCACAGATATCAAAACTGACTACAGTTTTTACTTTAATATGAACCAAATAAATGAGAGAAATTTATAAAAAAATGTGATTAGGTGGGGACTTTATTTTGCCTATTAGCACACTTAGAAATTACTACCGACTTCGGTAATTTTGCACTGAAATTTCAACAGCTGAACGTTCGGTAAAACTTTGACCCTAATTTCAAAAGCTGTTTCAATAACTTTTAATTTCAAAACACTGTCAGCCTTGTTTAAACAATTGAGTCTTGCCGTTGTGGTGAAGTTTTTCTTGTTTTGAAGCTTTAAACTAATGAATTGAAATGCTTGATTTTTACCGAACAGTGTTGATTACTTACTTATATCAGACCAGGATCCCTCAGGATTGCACCTGCATCACAATGTTACGCCAATTCACTCGGTCCATGGCTGTTAGATTACGCAATCTAAATCTCAGGTTTGAGAAAATTTTTACAATTTTTTGAAGTTTTCCCGTTTGGCAGTTTTCTTTTAGATTTCTTCATATCAACTTTAGAATTCTCCCGCTAATTCAAATCGCAACCAATTTCGTTCAAATTTGGCCAAACCTTAATACAAATCTAAAATGCAGTGGGAACTACAGTCGCAATATTCATAGTCTGATAGAATCTCGGGAGCAAATTGAGCTGTCAAATAGCGGAACCAATCTTGACCAATCCCTACCAAACCCTATCCAATGATGCTAGTAGTTTGCGTTCGATTGGCGAGAAAAGAATAATCAACGTTTTGTTTATAAAAGTTGATACTACCTTTTCAATTGTTGGTCCGTTTTTTGAAAGATCGAAATTCTGGGGGATAGAATGATTTTGCGATTATATGGGAAACCTGCTATACAAACCTGACCCACCCTAATGCACATTAACATTTGTTGAGTTTCAATGTGTACATACATTGTTTGTTCAGTTATGATTTGTACTGAAAATAGGGTCAATGCAGAAAACTTATTGTTAAATCTTTCAACTCAAAAATAAATTTGCATGATACACTATTTCTCTACCAAAATAACTGAAATTAAGTTTATGAAATTCGCACGACTTTTGTAAAAAGTGAATGTACCAACAAATTTGTTCCGCTGGAGCATAGTTTGGGTTCTCCAGTTTTATAATCTGTGTGGTTTAAAACATTTCATCTGCATTGGTTAGAATGGTTCAAAAATACTTTGCCATGAAACCTGGAACCACACCCTTGATATGGTAGCAAAGGGTGTTACAAAAAATGTTTTTTTTTTTATGACGGAAACTCTGAAAAACGTAATTTATACATAGCATTGTAGCAATGTAGAATGATATTTTCTCGTGGCCTAAAGCATAAACATTTGTTAGCATGTGTAATTTTGACGTCTTCGGAAGAGTTGCCAGAAAAGTTGAAACATGCAACTGCACCGAAGATTTTCCGCTTCTGTCACAAGATAGACTTAGTGCCATCTGATCGGTGCGTTGTAAAACTATACTAATTATGTTAAAAGATAGACCTTATCGGCTTGAACTGAACTTTGCAAAAGACAACAAAGCTCCAATTTACATGGGTACAACTCTACGATTTTTTTCCAACAAAAGTACCATTATCATTGGGGAGCGTAAATAAGTGAATAAAATAATAGAATTGTCGGGAGCTTCAACACATAGTGCCCGATTTCATCAAGAAGAATGCAATGTTAAATTTTTACCCAAAATGCCATTGAATCTAAAATTGCAAATCATATAATTGTGCTATAAAGCATTGATTGATTTTAATCTGTGAGGATATTCTCCTATCGCCCAAATGTTGCAACAACCTACTTATACTTACATACACGCGTTCTTTACAATTACCAATGGTCCGTAAAACCCGTCGCTTCCTTCCGCCGTTAGTTTATCCTTGGATGAAAATTACCGATAGCGACCGTGATTTTTCCTCCTCTGCACAGAAGTCAACTTATTCGAGCTGTGCGGAAGACCGCCCAGCCACCCAGCGAAATGTTTTCCGTATCCTTCGTCTACCATAATGCTGGCTACAACCACGCATTGGCAGATCGCCATAGCAGGAGAGAAAAAGACATGCGAGTCGTATTTCAATTTTGTGCTATTTTTTTGGCAACTGCAACAAGAGAAACAACACAAATAACAAAAACATCTCTGAATGAATTTCCACCAAACACCATGCGGCCACATGAGACGACAGGAGCCGGAAAGCTGAAAACATGATCGTCATCGGGCGAAAAAGTAAGCGCATGACCAGTGCTGCCGGATTGTTGTGAACTGTGGAATAATTGTAAACCATAAACCTTACCGAAAACATATTTTTTCAAATGTTGTTACGTCTGAATTTTGTCGATAAATTGAAGTATTACTAATTGGAAAATACACTTAGTCTGAATATAATAGTTATGCTGGCATTCCCACGCATCAATGGCAGAAGAAGAAACTGTTCGCCTCCGCATCAACATGCTAGTATAGTGTGTATGTATGGGTAGGTACGCACTGGTAGGAAAGGACGAAAAATGCTACATAAACTTATGTAGCGATGCTTTGCCGCTACATTTTTAAGACGGATGGCATCGAAAATGGTTCAGCTGAACCAGTAGACTCGTAGACTCCAGTCTCATCAAACATAACAAAACGGACGGCCAGGAAAAGCGGGCGTGAATACGAGTGTCAGTTCTCACCGCGGCTATCGTGTTGTAGTACATCAACGGGTGGCAGTCCACCTGCCCATGCGGTTCTAATGTGCTTCCAGTGCAGTTTTTATTAGAATCCTGCTTCGATCACGATGTTACATCATACATAAACGTAATTTACCTGTGAATGATTCAATTTTTTACTAATATAATTCGCGTTAGTTTGTTAGTTTGTTAGTTGCTAGTGAGTTCATAACCTAATTTTCTACTTTTGGATTAACGTACAATTGTTTTACCTGGTTGCAGAGTGCACACGTGGATCATAGGAAGAATTGTGTGAGACTAGTTATACAAACAGTGGAACAAATATCGACAATGAAAGTGAAGATAAAACATGGTGTGTTGAAGAAATGAGAAGTTTGTGTTTTAATGGGTTTTGCTTGTGTAACATTGAAACACATTTAAAAATAATGTATTCCAGATTTCTCACCTAACTTGGAAAATAAGCGCATTTCCTCTTATTAAAAAGTGTGATAAGTGTTGTTGACGTGCATTTTTTAAACACTTTTTTGCATTTTTGGAATAGTCCAGTTTTAGTTGCATTCAACAATAAGTTACACTTTTTATTATTATATTCATTTTTCTGTTATAGTCCTGACCTGTTCGGAGATGAGATTTGAACTCGTGACTTTGGCGTTCAACACTAAACCGGAGCCGTCCCTGTAGTGGACCGTCCTCTTAATGGACTAATGAATCTCATTTCCGAACAATCTACGAATGACCTCAAATGTGTTTAAGTGACTACCACACACAAAAAGATAATGGTGTGACAAATACAATGAGATATTTCATATTTCAATAATCACAAGAGCTGGCAAACAATGCATTAAGATCTATGTATTCATTTATTGTAACAACTTTAATGAAGGATATATAATCCCAACAGAATATTTTGAGTTTACAATGAATTTGGCATTGATACAGCTGTATTTATGTTCCAAGGAAAAATGCTTAAGCAAAAAGTTCAAATCGTTGCATCTTTAAATTTTTGAGTCATTTAAACCCTAGTAACGAGATATCAGGAACATTTCAGGACATTGATTTCCAGATCAATAATTTAAGCTGTTGACCTTTTAACTCTTCGAGCATCAATCCGAAACCACATTTTTCTCTATTTTGTAATATCTTCGGTAATTTTTAACACATTTCTAATATTTGTATAACATTCGAAAAACATTCTCAAATCTCATTCATTGAGCCTCCCTGCGAGAATAAACTCGCGTGCGAATGCGGCAAACAAAATTCACGCTTGAGATTCTCATGCACTCACACTCACAACGCCGAAAAATCATTCCAGCTTTAATCTCATAAAAACCACTCAAACGTCAATTGATATCATGCGTATGCATGTTGTGTTAGTTTTCCAACCCCTGATGCACAAACAATAGTAATAACAACGAATAACGCCAAAATATAAAGCAATGAATTTTTGAACCTGAAAACTCATCGGTGATTTTTGCGACGTCGAATTTTGCAAGGCAAAACTCATAGGCGCATAGACTCATGCATGAGATTTGAGTTTTTGAGTTTTTCCGAACAATGAATGTTGGAAAGGATATTATTTCCCCTTCTTATTGTTTAATTGGCTAAGTCACATGGTGATTATTACGATTGTTAGTTCAATTTTTGGATTTTCAATTTACGACAAGCCGCTTTGGAATTATCAAACTGATTTGTACTTGCATACTTTCCCAGCAAGCTAATACAAATATCTAGTTGAAAGCTACAAAACCAAATTTTAAACTAAATCCTAGTGCTTCTGGAAAATTTTGTCAGAAAATAATAATCTGGATTGTATGGTGCAATAACAAAAATAATTATGTTAATTACTGGCTAAAAATCTCAATACGACAGGAATAAAAACGTAATCAACATATTAACGAAAATTTGACAAAATAGCCTTTTCAACAGAATAACAATATTACAAAATGAATAAATAGAATACGAGATACATTATTTTGATTTAAAAAATATCGAGTACATTTTCCGTTTGGTACTTAATGGAAATATGTTGATTAAATTACGTATAGTATTGTACAATGATAGTCTTTTATAAAATAGAGTTTTGAGTTAACAGTCGGTCCAAAACAGTACACATATGTTTCAAATGAATTATTCGAAAATGATTCTGAAACACCTAAATAACTAGCTTAATTTTTTTGAATTAATTTTATTCAAGGCAAAAGCGAAACAGATTGAATTGCTTGTTTCATTGCTTAATAGGGTATAAATTTCACTTAATTGAGATGAAAATTATGTTTTAATGGATTACTCATAATGGCATCAAAAGCAAGCTTGCAAATGCTCATTACAGCTAAAATGCTATTTTTCGGATTTATGAAGCTATGAGATATTTTAATGATAATTCTTATTTACAAGATGCAAGAACAGAAGGTAAAGTGTGTGTATGACACATAAAACATGTCAATTTAGCTTTCAGAGGGTCACAATAGCGATTAGCTGTAACGATGAGCAACGCGAGCAATCAGCGATCATAAAATCGCTAGTTGTGACCTTCTGAAAGCAAAAATGACAAATTTTATGTGTCATATACAAACTTAACCACCTCTTCCTTCATCTTACATATAAAAATTATCATTATAGTATCCCATTGTTTCATAATACCGAAAAATAGTATTTTAGCTGTAAGAAGCCTGATCAATAGTATGGCTTTTCCATGAAATTCCTGATATTTAAATTAATATCCATTAGCGCATTTCAGCTTCATAACGTAAACTTGTGTATGGATCCCAATTTAATCATACGGAAGTAAATAAGAAAGGCTTTAATCCTCTTTATTGCGGAAATTTGCAGGTATCATATGTTTATAATTGGGCCGTTAAAAATGTCATTCTCACTATTTGTCCCAACGGAATGATCATGATTTTTTATTTTCAATCTAAAAATGCAGGAATAATGCATTTGATAGTTAATATAGGGTGTCCCAGAATGTCTAAGCACGATTAAAAAAACGATAACGTAACTTTGTTTACAGCAAATTTGATTTTTATTTCGTATTCAAGGACATCAGCGATCAGTTGTAAGCCAAGTGGTGTAGTGGTAAGCGTGATTGCCGTTCACCCCAATGATTTGGTACTCAGTATGGAAAACAAGATCGACGGAAAACAAACCAAAGAAAAAAAAGGAGCGGATTTTTGATCTCACGCTACTCGTGAGGCACAGATGCCTTTCCAACAATTTTGGATACTTTTTCCCATTATTTCACAAACTTTGTAACGGAATGTACTGCCTTTAAATGCCTCCGCAAATATTCTTTGGCCAGGGCTCAAAAAGCTTCGATTGACCTGGTCTTGGGACAGTTTGGCAGACTCATCTCCTTGGGTACGAATTGGACCTTGATGGGTTTATACCAAGGTTACCGTGTCCTTGAAGTAAGGAACCCACGCCAAATCCGGCCAAAACAGTACTGAGGCGTCGTGTTTGCGGATAATGGGTAACAGGCGCTTGTTTAAGCACTCACGCACGTAAACATTGGTTGTCATTGTATCCCTTGTCACAAAAGGTTTGGAAAGCATACCACACTCACAAATGGCTTGCCAAACCACAGCTTACCGAATTGTTCAGTAAAAATCGACTTATCTGCATCGTCAACACTTCTGCCATCACGAACGGTGTAGTACTGATCACCAGGAAGAGTTTTGTAATCCAATTTAACGTAATCACGCACACCGATTTTCCGCACAGCAATTCGTTTTATAACATCCGAGCCCTTGGTTTGACAGATGCGGCTTGTTTTTCACTCCGCTTTGGATTCTTCTGCTTCTTATACGTCTTTAGTCCCATTTTTGTCATGACCCGCTGGACGTTACTCTTCGAGGATCCCACTTTTTTAGCCACGTCTCTAACCGAAGCACTTTTCTTGCACGATTTTCCGGTCCAAATTTCGGTCAACAGGGTTCGGTTTACGTCCAGATTTTTGCTTGTCCTGGAAAGGTGCTTCATCACCATACTTCCGAATTGCGTTTCGAATGGCTCCGATGCTTACACTTTCCAATTTCGCTAATTGACTCAGAAAAATGTTGGGGATAGTACACCATTTGTGCACGATCTGTTTGCGCTTATCCGGAGAAATGCATCGCATTGTCACGGAAATGTAAAGAACCGTCACTTGCGATACACAAAACTGTTGGTCGAAATTTAACAATGATTCAGCCTGATAATCAGCTGTTTAAACGTCATCTGAAACAAGCAGGGGTGTTCCAAAGTCGTGTTTAGTCATTCTGGGACACCCTATATTCATATTTAAGCTTTTGGAATCTTGTTTGCTAGCCAATAAACCTTTTACAGCACAGTATTAAAAAAAATCGAGAATTGGTTCACTTACAAAAGAGATATTCTACGAAGTGAGGGTTTGAATCTAATCGGTATATTTTTCGTAGAAGGTAATTCGCACAATAGTTTACTAGGTACTTTGGCTAGTTTTAAGGGTATATTCTGGTTGAAGTGTTTTGGAAATACACTGTTTGCAAAACAATAATTTACTATCGGTCTGTGTTCTTCGAATTTTGCCAATTTTAAAGTGTGCATGGTTTATAATATTTCAAAAGTTTTTCAGTTTTTTTTTTGTATAATTATAAAAAATGTAAGATGTACTTTTTGAGATATTCGAGTTTTCAACACACTTTTTTACTCAAAATTACTAAAAAGATATACCGTGAACATTTTATCCAGAAACTTTTAAATTTTGTCTCAGACGAAATTCCGATTCCGAAAGATGCATTTAAAAAAGTAGAAGGGTCTGTGCCTAGCGGTACGAACGGAAGCTTGACGTAGGAACGCTAGTGGACGGAATAAATGTGAAGAGCATTTAGTTCTTTTAATTGATCAATTGTCTATTATCTCAACTCTTTCCGTTTTTGAATTGTGGGCGTACCAAATTTGTAGTAATTTTTTTCAAAGAGAAAGTTGATTAAGAGAATCAATCAAAATCACTTGCACCCCTACTTCCAAGTTTGGTTACAAGATTGCAGCATTTTGTGTGGTCGTTGTAGGCTTGTAGTTCTGAATATGGACAAACAAGCGCAGATAAATTCTATTCCAACTCTTTACTGATGTAAGCTTGAAGAGAACGTCCATGGCCACTTACGCTTA